TTCGATAATTGTTTGGTAGCTTCAAAGATCGCTCTTTATATGCAAAGAAAGAACAATGGGTGGAATGGAGGATATGGCATTGAAATTGGATATTAGCAAAGCGTATGATCATATAGAATGGAGTTTTTTTTTTAGCAAATGATGAAGAGGTTAGGGTTTGCAGAGGAATGGATTCACTGGATAATGATATGTGTTACTACTGTATCCTATTCATTCAAGCTAAATGGAGAGACAATGGGTCATGTACAACCTAAACGAGGCATTTGTCAAGGTGATCCATTGTCTCCTTTTTTGTTTGTGTTATGTGCAGAGAGACTGTTGGCTTTATTTGACTCATGGGAAGCACAAGGTTGAATTCAAGGTATCAAGGTTTGTAATGAGGCCCAAAGTGTTCATCATCTTTTTTTTGCAGATGATAGTTTTATCTTTGCTAGGAGTTCTTTCCAAGAATGCTTACAGATGAAGGAGTTGCTACGAACTTATAAACAGGCGTCCAGACAGGCTGTGAATCTTGCCAAAACCAGTGTGGCTTTTAGAACCCTTACAGGTTTTTGTGGGTCGGTTGAAGAATGACTGTTACCTTGGTTTATCGGTTTTTGTAGGTCGGTTGAAGAATGAGACTTTCGCATATATTAAAGACCGTCTTTGGAATAAGCTAAATGGAAGGCTAAGCTCCATGTTGAGTAGTGCGAGTAAAGAAATATTGATAAAAACAGTAGCTGAAGCAATACCATTGTATACGATGTAGACGTTCTTGTTACTTAAGCCATTTTGTGAGGAGTTGAACTAAATGGTAGCTCAGTTTTGGTGGCGCAGAGAAGCAAGTAAGCGTCGAATTCATTGGGTGAAGTGGCAAAAATTGTGTAAACCAAAAAGTGAGGGTGGCCTAGGATTTAAGGATTTATATGCTTTCAATATGGCATTGCTGGCTAAGTAAGGGTGAAGATTGATTCAATATCCTCACTCTCTAGTTGCTCTTATTTTTAAAGCTCGTTATTATCCTACAACAGATTTTCTGCAAGCTTCAGCTTCATCTAATTCTTTTTATTGTTGGAAAAGTGTGGCGGCTTCCAGGATTATCATTCAGAAGGGTGCTCGATTGAAGGTTGGAGATGGATTATGTATACAGATATGGAGGGATAATTAGTTGCCAAGGGATAATTTTTATAAAGTGCTTAGTCCCAGATCGGCCGGGCTGCACCCTTCTCTTACCGTGCGTTCTTTGATGGTGGACAACGATGGTATGCGTTGGAATACAAGTTTAATTCATACTTGGTTTATGGAAGAGGAAGCAAGATTGATTTTGAGTATCCCTATGAGTTTATTTAATCCGGCAGATTCCATGATTTGGACTAAAGAGCCTAAGGGTGTATTTACGACTAAGAGTGCTTACTTTGTGGCACGAACATGTCATGGTCTTGGTGGGGATGAACCGGTTGGATCTACACTAAATGAGGAGACAAAATTTCTATGGAAAGCTTTGTGGCGTGCAAAGGTCTCGGGGAAAGTCAAAATATGTGTTTGGCATGGGTGTATGAACTCATTGCCAACGAAGGTGAATTTAAAGAATAAACGGGCTCTTACAAAGGATATATGTGGGTTATGTGATAATGAGGCAGAGACAGTTGAACACGCTTTGTTATAGTGCCCACGATCAGCTGCTATTTGGTTTGGTAGTCCATTAGGAATTCGCATGTTTTCGAGGGCTTTGGTGGGTGGTTGATCAATATGGCAAAAATAGTAAGTAAAGATAGTTTTGAGTTGTGTCTTGTGTTGGTATGAAGCGTTTGGAAGGTCCGTAACGAGTTTCTTTGGAAGGGTGTGGATGCATCACCATTGGATGTGCAACTTAAAGCCCAAATGTGGCTGTCAGAATTCAAGAAATGGAATAAGGTTCAACCACACTCAGCAACAGTTCGTGTTTAGAAGTGGAAACATCAGGATTTTGGTTGGATAAAGTGTAACTTTAATGCTGCTTGGGATGAGAATAGTTCATATGGGGGTTTAGGGATTGTCGTTCGAAACTCAACAGGAGGTTTCATGGCTGCAATGTGGTTCAGGAGACGAGAATCAGCTCGGCAATGCATGCAGAGGCTACTGCTGCACGAGCAACAGCTGTGTTTGTTCGACATTGGAGTGAGGAACAAGTGTAGGTGGAAGGGGATGCTCTCATGATGGTTGCTGTTATTGAGAATGCGGGAACAACTTTGCATGGTAATTTTGGTCACCTGTTTGCTGATACACGGCATATCCTTCAAGGGTTTAAGCAATGGAAGATTTCTTTCAGACCAAGAAAGACGAACAGAGTGGCACATCGGCTTGCACAGAATCACCTAATTTCTTGGTTCGAAGAACCCCTTGATGTTATTTCTGATTTATTATTGGAGGATAGTCTTAATAGTTAATTTGGTGCGGGATACTCTTTTTTCCTTCGATTGGGTTGAAAGCCCCGTCAAGGTTTTTATTGAGGCCCACTGTTAGCACCCTATCCTCGATTATGTACTTATTTCTACAATTCAATGAATATCGTACTTCATCAAAAAAAAAAGGATACATTATAGTTAAAAAGGTGAATAGATTTTACCTAGGCACATTTTACACAAAAAATGGTAAATTACATAGTAGCCCCTTAGGTTTGAGGTCTATTACAACCCCATACAACATCTTTAAAACATTTCCCTTTCATACCTCACGTACTATTTTATTTTAAAATAATACCTCTGTTACATTTTCTATCCATTGATTCGTTAAGCGCTGACGTGGATGCCACATTTGTGCCATGTGGCAAAAAAACAAATTTTTATTTTTTTTAACCTGAATCTTCTAAATAAATAAATAAAATAAAAAAACCAAAAACAAAAGCTAAAACACACCTTCCCATAACCCCCACTTCATCTTCCCTCCCTCCCTCCCCCACCCAACCTGCAACCCAGAAGAAGAAGAAGAAAAAGAAGAAGAAAAAAACCCATCTTCATCTTCCCCGACCCCCTTCCTTGCAACCCACCCTTTTTCTTCCCCCTCCCGTCTTCCCAAAACCCATCGCACCCATCCTCCACGTCCTTCTCCGCACCCACCCTCTTCCCTCCTCTACACACCCCACTCCTTAAATCCACACCTATTGGGGAAGATGGAATCTAGGTTGCAGGGAAAGGGAGATGGAATCTAGTGGAACATAGGTGCACGGTGGGTTTGGGGAAGACGGGAAGGAGAAGAAAGGGGTGGGTTGCAGGGAAAGGGGGTCGGGGAAGATGAAGATGGGTGCGCGGATGAGGTGGAGGATGGGTGGGAGTGGTTTTGGATTTGGGTTGCAGGGAGGGACGACAGATGGGGAAGATGATGAAGGGGATGGGGTTTCACCTAGGGGAGGGGGGAGGGAAAGGGTGGGGTGATGGGATTTGGGTTTTCTAAGTTTCTTTTTTTTGTTGAAGATTTTGGGTTTTTTTTAAAAAAACATGAAATTTTTTTTTTTGCCATGTGGCACACATTTAGCAGCCACATCAGTGCTTAACGGATCAATGGATGAAAAATGTAACGGATGTATTATTTTGAAATAAAATAGTACGTGAGGTATGAAAGTGAAATGTTTTAAAGATGTTATATAGGGTTGTAATAAACTTCAAGCCTGAGGGGCTACTATGTAATTTACCCCAAAAAATGGGTTCATTTTATATAAAAAAATATTTGTATGTTTTACATAACAAAGTGGTATATTTTTTTTAATATAAAATTGGTACATGATTAATAAATTAGGGATAAGAGATTAAAAAAATTATGAGTACAAATAAAAGTTTAAAAATATGGGCATAAAAAGAAATTAATTATATGGATACAAATTAAAACTAGAAAGAAAATTAGTACAAATTAAAAAAAAAGTTGCTAATTTAAAATGGGTAAAAATTAAAAATACAGATATATGACACAAATTTTAGCTTTAAATATAAATACACCAAATGTAAATTTTTAACACTAACACCTAATCCAGTCTAGTCCAGTCCCACTTTAGCGAGCCCCGTAGTCGGGGCGAGTGAACTTTAGTCCCACTAAAGCTAGTTCCTTCCTCTAACAAACATGGGACTACACTAACACCTAATCCAGTCTAGTCCAGTCCCACTTAGTGAGGGCAAACAAACGCCCCCTAAATGGATATATTTGGAAAATTAAATTTAAATATGCTGACATGTAACAAAAATGACGTGGATAAAATCACAGGACCTTGATAAAAAAATTCAAAAGAATAAGGTTTCAATCAATTAAATAGAAAAATAAGGGATGAAAACCTAATTTCTCGTTTAATACATTTAGATGAATAATAGATTTCCAATTCGAATGTTCTTTTATAAAGATAATTTTCAACTGAAAATTAAAAAATTGAACGATTTTGATTATGAAATTCATACCATAAAATACATGTGTTGTGTTTGAGCATGCGATTGTTGTTACATATGCTTAATCAAGTGCCCAAATTACCCCAGTTGCCCGAAGCCTGCCACATTGGACTGTGCGTTAACTAAATAAGAATATGCACCTTCATCTCTGATGTACCCCGTTGTTGCTGTTAATCAAAGGAGAATTAATAATATATTTAGTAATAACCATTGTAACCAACTAATTATTAGTATTCAATATCTCCTAAGCTTGTAATGATCATCGTTGACCAAGTATGGGACATATTCCACTAGCTAGTGCGCACTGCTCGCTTATACGTGCTTTGCATGTATTGAGGGGGTACTTATTTTAACTCCTCTCATTTTCATATGTCCAAAAGTAGGCAGATCTCTCTATGTATCTGCCATGAAAAAAATTGTAATTACTTTGTTGCGCTACTTAGCTGTGTACAGTTCCTAAATAATATTCTTGCCGGCTTCTGGCATGTTTCAGTCAGGACAAAGAGAAAGAGACATGACAGAAAATTTCAGCATAATCATGCACACAACAATATATACACAATCCTATAGAAACTGATTAGCTCCTACAAACCCCTATAAATACCGAGTCAGTGATCGATGCAATGCACTACAAACTCCACAAACAAAACCCTAAGGAGAAACAGCGGCATTATACACATCCCATACATTCTAGTTGTCTGCCATGGCTTTGGCTATGAGATTGATTCAAGTACTGATCATATTAGTATTTTCCTTGGCCACCTTCGAAAGGGCAGTACTAGCAAGTGATCCTGACATTATTTCAGACTTTATAGTCCCACCGAATTACAACGGCACGGTTGATGGAACGTTCTTCACTTTCACTGGATGTCGTGGCATCTTCGATCAAGCTCCTCAAACCATTAAGGCAGGAAAGGCAAGCAGTGTTGAGTTCCCCGCTCTCAATGGCCAAAGTGTGTCGTATGCAGTGCTTCAGTTTCCTCCTAACTCGCTATTTCCACCTCACACCCGCCCCGACGCAACTGGACTGTTGTTTCTTCTTGATGGTACCTTGGAAGTAGGGTTGATCGACACAAAAAACAATCTGTATACACAAAAGCTTCAAACTGGAGATCTGTTTGTTTTTCCCAAAGGATTAGTCCATTACCAGTACAATTCGGATCCTCAGTTGCCAGCCACTGCCATTGCAGCATTCGGAAGTGCAAGTGCTAGAGCAGTTACAGTCCTGCCGTCTGTCTTTGGCACCGGAATCAACAACATGATCCTTGCCAAATCATTTAAGACAGATGTTGGTACCATTGAGAAGATCAAGACTGGCTTCACTGCCCACTAGCTCCTACATAACAAAGTGCGATCCAGCTTAATAATTTGCTTATTATGCAAACTTTGATTGATTACTTTGTGTTTTGGATTTGTTGATGTATGCAGGTTTTCCCTGTAATTCTATCATTTTTTTAGGGGTAAATTACATAATACCCCCTCAGGTTTGAGGTCTATTACAACCTCATACAACATCTTTAAAACATTTCACTTTCATACCTCACGTACTATTTTATTTCAAAATAATATCTCCGTTAGATTTTCCATCAATTGGTCTGTTAAATGCTGATATGGCTACCACATTTGTGCTGATGTGACTGCCACATGGCAAAAAATATATTTTTTATACATTAAAAATATTATAATATTAACCCTATTAAAAATTTTAAAAAAAATTAAAAATAAAAATAATAAAAAATAAAAAAACCAAAAAAACCCGAACCCAGATCCCCTTCCTTCCCCCTCACCTCTCTGCAACTCCCATTTACAAAATCCACCACTCAGCCCACGGTTCATCCCCTTTGAAGCACTTCCAAACCTAATTCTACCCACCAACCAACCGATTTACAAAATCCTCACTCCGAAACCCTAATAACCTAAGCCCCAAACCCGTAGAGAGTCCTGCCCAGGTCGTCGAAAAAGTCAGAGTCGACAGAGAAGCTCTGGAGGTGGGCAACAGTGGCGGTAGAGCCGGAGGAAGAAGTGGGCTTGGGGGTCGAGGAGAAGGGGTTGGGTGGTTGGCCCCCTGAGAAGTCGTCGGACTCAAGAAACATGGTAGGAGTTTGGGGGAGGTGAGGCAGGAGAGGTCGAGGTTGGAAGGGTCGAAAATGAGGAGGTCGTCGAAGTTGGGATGGATAAACGGGAAGGAAGAGATAGGTAAGGGGGTGGGGGTGGGATGTGGGGTTGCGGGGAAGGATTTTTGGGAAATAGAGGGAGGGAGAGAAAGAGAGAGAGGGGTCAAGGTGGGACCCGCGCTGAGGGGTGCTCAGGTGGAAGGGATGGAGGGGTGGAGGGGATGGACGGACGTGAAGGAAGAGATGGTTAAGGGGGTGGGGAAGGATTTCTGGGTTTGGGTTTTTCTAGTCATTTTTTTTAATAGGTTTAATATTATAATATTTTTAATGTATAAAAAATTATTTTTTTGTCACGTGGTAGCCACATCAGTATTTAACAGACCAATGGATTGAAAATCTAACAGATGTATTATTTGGAAATAAAATAGTACGTGAAATATGAAAGTGAAATGTTTTAAAGATGTATGAGATTGTAATAGACCTCAAACATGAGGGGGTATTATATAATTTACCCTTTTTTAGCAGTACTTATATTCTTCAGAAAGAATAATACTGCGCTTATATATTTCTACTAAGAGGCAAAGTCCTCACTACCCACTAACGTGGCAATATTTCACCGTATGAATATCATAATCAAATTTGTCTTTTTTTTATTTTTTTTATTTTTTTTATCACAATCAAAGTGTAATGTCTAGAAAAATTCTAAACACGATAATCCTTTTCTCCTTTAACTTGGCTATACGGATCTACAAAACCGTTCATTATCTTTATCATCATCTAATAATCATGTCCGTAATCGTTCATTCTCATTACATGGAATCAGATTGTCGCAACTTGGAAAGGTACTCTTATACTTGCAATGTAATTCAGATTGCATTCTAATTACAGTGTTAGGAATAAAAGCTATAAGTTACGGTTCATTAGGTGAAACATGTATCTTGCTGGTTGCATCTCCTGTTGTTCCTAAGATCATGACACCCACAAGATGTATTCCAGAAAGTGGTTTCTAGTAAACGAATATGCCCTAATATCGTTCATTGTGACTGGTAAATTAAACTTAATTAAGAACTTGTCCAATATTGCAGCCAAGTACGTTTCATTTTTTTAATAAAGAATATATATATTTTATTAGAAAGAATAATACTTCTCTCATTTTCAGTAACTTTCCTATTAACGTTACATCATTTCACTGTACGATCAATAATCATAACCGAAATCTTAAGGATCAAGATTTGGGAACATTACAACAGATGGCATATTGTTGGGAAGGTCGAAAACCTAACTTCAAATCAAGATTAAAAATGCAAAACTCGAGAACAAGTTTTTTTGATAAGGGGAGAATGATGCAGTGCATGACAATTATATGAGTATGGTCCTTATATTAAACATGTTTGCACAGTGACTTTTCATCTTTCAAAATTATGTTTTAATTAAATGCCTAGTAACTATAACTTTAGTATTAATTTTTTTTATCCCACCAATGAATTGTATCTGCTTATTTAAAGGGCTCCATATGTAAGTTTATACAAGAATTGATTAATGAAAAATAGTTTATTTGCCTTGTGCATTTGAAGTGAGTGATTTCTCCTTCTCAAATCAAGTGTTTGGCTTGGTCATGTGAGTGAATCCACGATTAGCAATGGCAAACCAGCTCCGTTGCCCCTGGTTGAGTGATTCCTAGGTTATCTCTCTCAGTCCTTTGGTTCTTCCCTGGATCATGAGGTGGTTAGCATGATCACGACATTGATTGTAGTGTGTCGACGATACGTGTGTACGCATTTAAAGGGGTGAGATATTTCGGGGCCCTGGTCGTTTGTGTGGCAAATGCACCTCGAAGAGAACCGTGTCCAAGTCCTCAAACAAGTTAGAGAGAAATGAGATGATTGTCCGAGCCCTAGTTTGAACTTCGAAGTTAGTGAACCGAAGTCGTGCAACCTTTATGTAAATAAAAATGGATAGGCCTCATAAAAGACCTTATTTTTATTTATGCCTCAAACACTTGGACAGTCCCTATGCTTTTTTTTTTGTTTGACAAACAATAAGATAATCTACACAAAATTTATCTATATTACAGAGAGGTAAATTCAAACACGAGACCTCGACTGCAAGAGTAATGCCTATAGTCTCAGTTTTGAGGATATGAACATGATAGATCTGTTCGCCGCAGGAATCTCCTGGCGGACGAGCACACAGCTCCCCTGGGAGAATGGCGTCGGTTGAGGGTATCTGTCGTACTTCTGCTTTCTTCTAGGGCTCGCTCGGGCAAGCCTTTGTCGGGCAGATCTTGGTCGGGCAAGACACACTTCGGGCAAGGCTCGTCGGGCAGTTCTGAAAGAGAAGGACAGAGTTAATTTGAAAGGGTGCCTTTGTGGGGCCTTAGATGTAGGCCTTGAGGCTCACAATCAAGATTAACTTTGTCGTGCTCAAGCGTGCCACTGCCATCTTCAGTATGGCAGATGTTGAATGGGTGTTAAGCTTTGATTGAATATGTATACGCCCGAGAAACCAAGTTAGATATAACAGGTGCCTTTGTGAGGCCTTAAGTATAGGCCTTGAGGCTTCCTGTCAAACTAAACCAGCACTTGGATGTATCATATTTGGTCTTATCACTATTATACTTTTGATTATCTAAATCCAAGAAGTAGGACGAACCCAAATGAGTACCTTTGTAGGGCCTTAGGTATAGGCCTTGAGGCTTCCCATCAGAGTTAATCCTTATACTCGGACCAACTAGACCACAACATGAAATGAAGCTAAATAGATGCCTTCGTGGGGCCTTAGGTGTAGGCCTTGAGGCTTTCTATCAGAATTCACTCCCTGCTTAAGCCCTTTCTATGAATCAAGATATAATAGCAACAAAACGGAGAAATAGGTTGATTACTTGCGCCCCAAGTAACTTCGGACTTCTCGCTTATCAAGGATTGTCGTGGATGGGTTAAGTCCACATAGAGTTCTTTTTTTATGCCTTGAGGCCAAGGACTTTTAAACTGATCTTTAAATTACATGCCCGCGGGCTTAAGACTTAGATCGGATTTGAACTCTGACGCGATTCAGATCGGATTCAGGTGCTGAAGACTTACTTTCATTATGACTTTGCTAGAAATAACTTGTATATAACTGGGAATATATAACATGTTACTGTGCTTTTAAAAGAAAGAAAAGACAAAGACAGAGCAAAGATAGTCGGGTAAGTTTGAACCTTATCGGCCAAGGCTGAACTTCTTACAAAATCTATCCTTGTGGCTATGTCAGAGGTCTGAAAGCTTTTAGAGGGGGTTGACGGGGGGAGAAGAGGATACAAAATGAATCGATACCACCATGAACAAGGTAGCAGAGCTATTACAGGGGTTTGGGAAGGTTTATCCCGAATGGGATGAAGACTTGTGCTGACTACAGCTTTGTTGAAGGCAAATCTGGCTTGAGCAGAGTTTTGGCTTTTGTTTGTTTGATTGAGTGTCCTTAATTCTGTCTTCTCTTCTTCCTTTTATAGACGACTTCAGCTTGGGTTCCTGTAGCAATAGCGGTTGCCCGAATGCGGTTTGGTGATGACTCACTAGCTTTTTTACATGAATGCCACCAATAAAGTACTTTATTGGGCTGTGCAGTGACTGAATAACCTACCCCCTGTGGTCTTTGAGCAGGTAAGCAGGTGGCCTTTGTAACTTGTGCCCAGCCGAAAGCCTCTTTCCTGCCTCCTAAGTTTTCCTCTGGGCCTTGGGTTTGGGTCGGCTTTCTCTCTGGCCCAAAGTTCAGATTTTATCCCAAACAGTGCCCCCTTCAATTGATGTTAAGGTTGGGATCCCAAGCGCCAACATTAATTGAATAACAGCATGCGTGCCCTTTGAGCTTCTTGCGACCTTTAAACTGCCTTATGGCTCTCTATAAATTCTGGCTTTGGAAACCCTTTTCAAATCATCACCTCTTCTTCATTTTGGTCTTCACCCTTCATCCACCTTGAATCCTTCCGTCTCCCCACTGAGAAATGGGTTCCTCAGGTTTTGAGTGGAGTTTCCTGAAACTCCCCTTTCGTGAGAAAAAAGAAAGTTTCCACCTGATGATTGCTACCTCCAACACCTTTGGTCGATCACCCCTCTACCTCCAACACCCTTGGTCAGGAGGTCTCCCCTTGATGACTGATCTTCCCACAACTTGTGGTGATAAGTCGGGCTTCATCATCATACATGGTGAAGATCTTGTGGGAGGGTCCTCTACCAAGCTCATGTTGGCCGCACAACCCGATCACCTGATTGGGTTCAACCAAGAAGATAGCGGGAAACCAGTTGAAGACACCAACACTTTCAGAGAGGATCAAATGTAATACATAAGATTTGGTATC